TCAAAGTTTCAATTGAAGGTAACGGTTTATGCACTAGTGTGTATTACAAACCTACAGACTCGCATAATTACTTGTTATATTCGTCTTCGCATCCATCTCACGTTAAGAATTCCATTCCTTTTTCTCAGTTTCTAAGACTTCGTCGTTTATGTAGTGATGACTCTGATTTCCACCACAAATCAGAGTCAATGTGCCAGTTTTTCGATAAACGTGGTTACCCTGTTTCTGTCGTTCAAGCGGGTTACCACCGCGCCCAACTTATTGATCGACATTCAGCACTACAAACGTCGCATAAGGAAGATTCCGACCGCATTCCATTCACTCTCACGTTTCACCCTCACAACCACTCAGTTAAATCCATCATTCTTAAAAACTTTAAATTACTTCAAAACGATCCAGAGACAAGCACTATCTTTTCGCAGCCTCCGCTCATTTCATTCAAACGCGACAAAAACATAGGCAATTTTTTGGTCAGAAGTTCTTTTCAGACTAATGACCAACCAGGCACTTTTAAATGCGCTCGTGCACGATGCAAAACGTGTCCTTTCATTCACAACACCGATAAAATATCGGGACCTAAACGATCCATTAAGATCACCGATCACTTCACGTGCACCTCCGCCAATGTAATCTATTGCATAACTTGCACTTATTGCAAAAAGATAAACATCGGAGAAGCAGGCAGAAGACTAGGTGACCGATGCCGAGAACACCTTCGAGACGTGGAAAGGAATGACAAGGACACATCGAAACCAGTCGCTAGACATTTTAATTTACCTAATCATTCTAAGCAACATATGGCAATCTGCGGTCTTTCCTTACACTTAGGTAGGACGGAAAGCCGTAAAAATCTTGAATAAAAGCTCATCTTTCAAACCGGCAGTCTAAATCCCACAGGGATCAACGAACGCTTTTCATTCCACTAATTTATTCTTGTTTTTCTCGTTGCCATGTTCCCACCAATAACGTAGCTCCATTCTCTACCTTTAAAAGCACACACAACCCACAATTCCTCTATTCGCTCCGACGAAGGGCTAACGCTCGAAACGTCAGCTTTTGCAATCGTTACGGTGGCCAATTTACCACTTCAACTTTGTTGATATATCCAAATTATTTCGTTACTCCCACCGACGCAGCCCCAAACAGTTTCTTTCGAAACCATCAGCCTTTCCATCCAGAAATAGAGAAACAAGATTTGATCAAAGCAACTGGCTTGAAAAAAAATATTTATTGCTCGCCAGGGTTCAAAATAATTTTTCAGCTTTTAAGCGAAAATTTGTAGGCTTTTGTAAAGGCTTACTTTTTTTTACCGCCTGCCACTAATATATGTCCATATAAGTCAGCACATGTCTTAAACACTCAACATGATTAAATTGCGAAGATAATTTCAGCATTAAAATCTTTATTTTTACCAACATGATTCGTTACGGCAATTCCCTTTCTAACAAAGCGTAGTGAACGGCTCAATTTTTGGGTGTTTGTTCAAGTGTGAAACATACAAATTTATCTGGACAAACTGTCGCGCTTCTTCATTCACAGTCATGGGAAATCCGTACTGTTAAGCACCGACTCCAATAGGTGGTTTGCAACCAATCTCCAGAGAAACAGGTAACAACGGTGAAAGGAACAAATGCTGGTGGACGAACAAAAGGAACTAATGAGATGTCTATTGTTTACGTCCACCAACATGACGGCGATGACGTAACGTGCAAACCATCTATTTGAACGCGTGAGAAGACTTTACAAACGACATTTAACAGGATTTGGCGGAAAATAAACCTTGATTAAAGGTAGTATATATGTGCAGAAACATAAACTCGGTAATGTGACGGTGTGCACACAAACTTGCATGTTTCACGCTTCAACAAATACATAGAACGCTGAATACTGTAAACATAGCTGGGGGGAGCCATTTTTATATATAAATTCATTTTGTTATATACATTTTCCCCTTTTCTTTCTAATGCTGTTAATTTACATTTTTTTAAGTCATGGGTTTCCGTGGGAATTTTCGTATCAACAACTTGCTCTTCGTGATTCTCGCTGCTCCTCGTTATGTTAAGTTTAGCGCATGGGCGATTCGAAGATTCTTCAAATTTGGTCTTTAATACTATCACTAATCTGAAACATTCGAAGTCCATTTCAATTTAGTAAATGCTGAAACAGCCTTGTGAAGACAATAAACATCGCAACGATCGATGTAATCACAACGGCGCCAGGACTTCGGACTTCATTAGAAGGATAGATCTCGAGTTCGGAGCCGACTAATTAACGATTATTCCACGAGCGCGCGTTGGATATGAGATGATAGATAGCCAACGAGGTGCGTAGCGCCTCGTTGGCTATAATCATCTCATATCCTGCAAGCGCGAGTGGAATAATTGTTTTATTAAAAACGTTAAATTAAATCAAATTTTATTGAATTTTTAGCTCCCTTTTAATTTTAAGCTGACACGTACGCTTGCCATATTTGTAGATTATGGTATATTTATCAACTTTTCACAGAAGTGGAGGTGGTTAGTGGTGGAGAAGGATAGATCTCGAGTTCGGAGCCGACTAATTAACGATTATTCCACGAGCGCGCGTTGGATATGAGATGATAGATAGCCAACTCGGCGCTACGCGCCTCGTTGGCTATAGACAGACCACTTTCATAAATGGCTGCCGGATTAATATTCTTTTGTTTAAATTTAAATTAGCCCTTCTGGCCTCGCTTGAGATAAATGTATTATTTTGAATTTTGTACTGGAGAACGAGGCCAGAAGGGCTAATTCAAATTTAAACAAAATATTAATCCGACAGCCATTTATGAAAGGGGTCTATAATCATCTCATATCCAACAAGCACGAGTGGAATAATTGTTTTATTAAAAAAAAGCGCCTCCAAGATATTAGACAAATCTTCTCGACTTTATTTTGTAATAAGAAACCGGATGTCACAGTGTACAGATATTAGATCATGGTATATTGGTTCATATAGAATAATGGCTAAGCCAATAAAAAGTCTTGAATTGCATTACCCAATGATCCAGTTTTTAATAATTACGAAGAGTCCACGCCAATTTTCATATTCCAAAGTCCCCACAAGAACTCGTTTCTACGCTATCGCGTACCCACAAGTTAAAAATGACTTATTGGACTTTACATTATTTTGTTGTCTTGTTTTCTTTACAGATGTAAAAAAAGTCGCTGTTGTCGTCACAGATGGATTCAGTTTTGTTGGACCCGGAATCGTAAAACTGAGAGCCGATGAATTGAAAAACAGAGGAGTCGAAGTGTTTGCAATCGGAGTCACCCAAAGAATGGGGAATGACGAGTTGATAAATTTATCCAGCAAACCTGTTCACAAACATTTCTTAAGGCTAACTAATAAGGAATCAATCGAAAGAATAACTGATACCATTGTCCAAGGCCTCTGCCAATAGACAAACCAATTAATAAAAATTAAATGGAGAAAGAAAGAAATTTTGCATCGTGTATACATCTTGCATAATTGTTTGGTAATGTATTTCAAAAACCCATAGCAGTTTGTGTCCCCACTTAGTCGAAACCTATTCGTTTAGTAGAATGTTCCTTTTCTGTCAAAAATTGTTCTTGTGATTGGTTCATTTAACCATCTGTGTATCTTGTGAATAATTCCAGAACCATCTTGATGACTCTGTAAGTACTAGACAGGATTTTTAGATGAACAGCATTTCCGTCAAACACCAATTTTATTAATTCTCAGACCATTTGATAAAATGTGAAAATGTCCTTGTTTGCCACTGGAAACGTCAGTCATTCAGACCTCTTGAAAATCGGATCAATTTTGATTCTCCTATTTTTCCCGTACTTCATTGCACGCTGTGAAATGCAGAGACTGCAGCACAATTTAGAGAAGTTCATAAGTTGTTTTTTTTAGCCAGTATTTAGACTGTCGCATCGCGCAGAGCTTTCTGATTGTCCAAACATTCACTTTGTCTCAGGGTTGCAAAATAATGTAAGGTTTACAAACACCCTCCACCTCACTTCGTAATAATTGTCTTGAATCTCAGAAACAAAAAAATACTTGAAAATGCCAAACATGGAAAATTTGTATGCCTAGAACTAATACTTAACTAGCAACCTTCATCAAAGATTTTGGGAGCAAATGTTTTGTGCTTTAATAGATATTACGGAAAGTTGATTGCCATGGTTACATGAAAGATGAAAGTTCGCTCCTTTTCTCTTTCGCAGTTTAATGTAATACATAGAGTAAGCTAAAGAGATGGGACACTCTTGTTGCTCAGGGTGGGAAAACAGCGAAATGCTGTCCTAGAACTTGATGGGAGAACAGTGACAGAAACACAGGAAGTCAAACCTGAGTCTCATTCGGGCTACTCCGACACTCTTCCTTTTCAAATGACTTCTCTACTCACAAGAAAATGCTGTTTACACATGTTCTTCATACCTTCTGTCGGGCATCTCCTACGGTTTCTTTGGACCAAACATTAACTACAAATTTTTTGTATCAAAATATACTTAGCCTTCAATGGTGGAATTATTCAATGACCTTACCTAAAAAAAACCAATATTAGCAAACTTCGAACTCGCAAAACGCGCTCTGGTGTATAAAAATTGACTAAAGAAACGTAAGCGAATTAAAGAGAAAAGGAAAGGAAATCTGCCATCTTCACCCCATTATTGATCGATAACTTGGCACCTCGATTATCTAGAAAAGCTTTGTACTGAAGATTATAAGCTGCAGCTTTGAATGTTATTCGCCTCCCGGTTAGCTTAATGGATAGCCCGCTGGACTGTTGTGCGGGAGGTCGAGGGTTCGAGCCCCGGCCGGACCAACACTCAGGATCTTAAAATAATTTAGAAGAATTTGCTGCCTTTCTATAACATCAAGAAGTGGTTAGATATTCTAGTCTTCTCGCATAGGGACGAATAAATGGAGGTCTCGTCTACTGCTGGGTTGGGGTAGGTAGGAGACGTTAATTTCCCACGCACGAGATTACTGTGTGTTGGATGTCATCCCCTGGGGTGGGTTGGGTGGGTTAATTGGGCCCGCAGTAATTGGCGCAAGCTGTTGCGTTGTCCCTGCCGGTTGGTGAAGCTTAATAAATCATAAATTCAAATTCATCTCCGTAATAAACCCACACGTGTGAACTCTTGTTGACTCGAGCTAAGTCTATGGTAAACTAAATCAGTCCATTAATTTTCATGAAATTCTATTGGCACGTGGTGCGAAATCACCGGACAGTTTTCACCCATTATGATCCTTAAAATATTTTTTGCCTGCGCGGGATCGGTTTAAACGCATCACGTGACGGAATATTTCCCCAGCTGAAACTGAGTTATATCCAAGATTATAATCGCAGTTTTCCTCGAACTTCGCTCCCGGAAACTGTTCGTGGATAAACATCTGTCCGTGGATAAATATCTGTGGATTTATTTTCGCACCAAATGGAGCCTATTATTTAATTTTCCAACAAACATTTTTGCTCACGCGCGATCGGCCAAGACGCAACACGTGACCAAATCCCCCCCCCCCTTAACTAAAGTGGGGGATATCCGTAGATGCCTCAAGAGATTTTCCCCAATTTTCAACCTTACGTCCAATACAGAAAACTCTGCGTTTAAAATTGAATTCAATATGAGAAAGCGTTGTGAGATTGTTACAGAAGAAGCAACATATTTTTTAGTTCAGAAAATCGTGTCAGATAACACTAGAAAGTGAACATCCCACGCCGTAAACGATAAGCTGCTTGTAAGCATTTTTCCCGCTCACTGAAAAATATTTGAAGGATAATAAGAAAAAAGCCTCCATTTTTGCACGAAAATATGCTTGTATATTTGTCCTTGGACATTATCTGTTCCTCGAAGCTCACAGTTTTCCTTTAGTTTCGTTCTCGGAAAACTGTTCGCATCTCGGAACAGATTATGTCTTCTGTTCCTCGAGTCTCTCCGAAGTAAGAATTATGGTAGTCAGAACACCTAATCTTGTAACTTTCTCATCGACTGTTCCTCCTTGACTGCTGAATGGCGTGGTATTATGATCTGCAAATGAACCAAACAAACGACCTATCATCACTGGCGAAATGAAACTTACCAACCGCATCCAGCTTTCGATACTTGTGCCTTCCTTTCAACAACATCACCGCAAACTGACCAATCAGTTCACAAGAACTGACCTTAAAACACTGGACTAACAACAAATTTTCACCTGACTCTTTCGATGACTTCTGCTAAGGTTGACGAACATCAGCCAGACGAGGTACGGTTGTTTATGCAAGCATAACTAGTTCAAATTGTTGGGTTAAGGATGGAAAGTTCATTCCCATTCAAATCCTTACATTTCGCCTATTAAGAGACATAACACATTTGCAGGGCTCTAGATGTTTGCCTGTTGGCTGCTCCTTGAATAGTGTCCGCTTTTTCGGGATCGAGTGTTCAGAACGCTGATTCAACCTACGCGATTATGTCTGTGGCAAGTATGTCCCGAAGTTTGGTCCTTCCTTCAGCTCCCTAAGGTTTGAAGGGGACAGGGGGCGGGATTTATCTGAGGGCGGGGAGCAGGATCTATCTGATGGCGGGAGATGAGAGCAGAAATCAAAGAAGCACTCGTGTGCTGTTAGTTTCTGCTCATCATTCAGTCAAAAACCGTACCCAGCAAAGTTTTTAGCATTTCATTGAACGCCAGTGTTCTCCCAACATTCCAAATGGTTTTATCAGTTGGCAAACCGATAGAAAGTTTGGTTTATTGACATTAATATGAGGGAGGTTTGTGACAGAGAAAGATGAACTTCATCTCATTTTGTGATCAAGTCGCAGATTCTCATGAAAACCGTCAAAGAGCGATAAGCCAATCAAACAGTCGGAAACTGAAAGAACTGTCGGCCAAAACAGCGAAGACCGTAGTTAAATTTATCGCTAAATGAAAGCAACGGCACGGAGAACTGAGCAGAAATTATAATGAAAATAAACAAGAAGTGGCAATGTGCAAGATAAAGGCACAAGCTATAAAGTGCTACTGACGAACACTTCAATTTGGAGGGAGGAACCAGAATTTTCGTGGTCAGAATTGTACGGAAACTAAAACTAGGACCTTGGAAGCAGTTTTGAAATTTTCCAGAGGTTTTCCGGCGAAATTAAAGATCATTTGTAGAATTTTAACTGGTGAAATTTATTTCGATTATGAGAACTGAACTTAAGATGCTTTAATAACATCACTAAACTATACCACGACAAAAACGGCAAAATCGCAACTACAGCATTGAGCCGTGTGCACATTCACTTTGCAGGTGGTTTTTGCTCTCATCAGTAAAAAGCACTTTCTGTAAATATCTAAATGAAAATCCATTTAGCTTGTCGCTAAAGCAAAGCAAAAACGTGCCAACCTATCATTTTCGGCAGACATTTTTTGAATTTTTCTCGAGAATTTCTGAAGTTCTAAAATAAAGGCTTCAGTCGCGGGAGCAAACAGTCAATTGAACTACATTTTAAACGGAAATTTTTATAATGTTAAACAAATATCTTTATCATTATTTTTGGCGTTCAAAAAGTCCTCTTTGTGTTTTCCAAACCAAAGGCTTTTAAAACATTAAAATCTGGATCTCGCCGGCCATGTATGGTGCCATTTGGCAGGACGGGAAGATGTTTCAGTTATCTATAGGTATACAGGCAAATATACAATAGACTTTTGATCAATCAGAGCGCGCGTTGTGTCAAGTTATTTCATAAACAGTGATAACCAGGTCAATGAAAACTGGCCTGTAATAATGTTCGTCCTGAGAAGACAACATCCCCTCCTCCGAGAAAATGCAACGCAAGAGATTGGTCAAGAATTATGCGTTTTGGCACAGTTTGCCAAACACCAAGGTTTTAGATCCTTTGTAATAACCCGAAGGGGAAAGTGATGCAAAGGATGGCGGGAGTTGGGAGGCAGAGGAGCACAAGTACGGGAGGCGTGAGAACAAGCTACTGGAAGTGGGAGGCTGTGACTCCCCTTTCCCTCCCCCCTCAAAAAAATAACAGGTAACCAGTCGATCTTATTACCTGAAGGTGAAACGTCGGAACATTGTGACTACATCAAACGATTACATTTAATCACAGAAAATTGGTCAATTGTTCTTGATATAAGGGAAGTAATTAAGTTATGTTTCAAATGATGAAAATGATATGGTGTACCGTTTAGGCCACTTCGGAAAAACAGTAAAGTACCGTTCGTCAATGAACCTGATAAGAGACCGGCGACTGAAACAAAGGACGAGTCCAAGTAGAGTCTCCCCCGGACACTGTCTTGCTCTCTTAAGTGCAATTAAAATTTAATTAGGTGGTAGATTTTAACTACTGATACGCAGAGATCAGTCACAAGTCAAACCAACTATCGGAAAAGGTGGTGTAAATGAAGATGAATTATTCTTTCTTTATCATCTTTGTCATTGTGATTCATTGTGCGCAAGGTAAGCGATACCTACAATATATTTTAAGTAACAAGAAAAAGCTAGCGAATAAGCGAGATCTAGGTTACTGAGTCCCTTTTCAATCTTTTCGTCTTGCATGGTGTAGGACAGGTCGAGTCAGACTTTATGCTTCCTTTAATTTGTTCCTAACAAAAAATTTCCTGTAAAGAATAGCCAAGCGCGCTCTGTGCGAGACAAACGGAGGAACAGGAATAAAAGAAGTTTCATTGCATGGAAAGAAAACAAGATTTCTCTGATTTGTAGTGAAAATCGGGTAACGAAACGAAGCAAATGTTTATCTTCGTTGTTGTCAGTCATCTCCCAGGCTTTGCTCCACTTACCAGCTAATTCTTGCTAGTATAATTAAAGGTTATTTCGCGGTTGGTGAGCGCGTACGATTTTTCTTCACAAGTTGCGTAACTGAAACGAACGAGCGCAGCGAGTGCGTTTGTTTTACACAACGAGTGAATAAAAATCGTACAAGCGAGCTAACCGTGAAATAGCTTATTTATTATATACATAACGAGATTCATAAGCAAACAGAACTCAGAGATAAACAGCAACGCGCGGTCAAGCCGCCGTTCGGGAGTTGCTTTGAAATGGCTTCCTTGTAAAATACTTCTTTACATCTAAATTATCAAGCGAAAATGCCGTTAAAGGCAGAACTAGGTAGAATGAATTAAGACATCCTCAAAATATGTCGAAATAGTTCTATGGAAGATCAAAATTTGAAATAAAGAAGTGAAAACCGAGACCTTTCAAAACAAGAAATTCGTGGAACAGAGCGACATCGTGTTTGGTCTTTTTCTTGGTGTTTTTTTTATTTTCCTGTCCGTCTATGAACTCTTCTACTGATGAATCTAGGCTCTGAAAACGGTTAGTCTGATTTCAGGCCATCTTTCTGAAGAAAAATACGCCTAAGCTCTTAGAAATGGGCTATTTGTCAGTCAAGAGGAGCGGCGAGCGAGCGACAGGGTTTTGTTCACTAGTGAAAATAATGATATAGCCAATCAGAGCGTCGATACGTCGTTTTTCACTAATGAAAAAAAAATCGTATGACCAATCAGTTGGCTCCTCTAGCGTGAAGAGACTATTTTTATCTCGATGCTTTTTGGCGCGTAAATCTCGGTATGTATATAATAAGTCGTATTAATCATATCATTAATCGTTAGCCCCTATGCCTGTAATTGCTAAAATAGAATGGGTAAAAATATCTATATGAATTTATATAGTAAATTTTCGTGTTTTACTATCTACGTTAAAGGATGTCTGAGGTAAGAGTTTTTAAAGTATTTAGTGTAGGTGTCCACACTAATTTTTAGACATACGGGTAATCCTTTGTCAAAAAATAATCTACCAGTCGTAAAAAATAAAAAAAACATTGAAGCATTGTTTTAACGGTCGTATCAACTCCAGAATTGATTTATCGGAGTGGCTAGATTCAAGACAGGTTCAGGACAAATATTTCCCTCTCGGATCACGATTTAGGCAGAAAGAAGCTATACTTCACGCTTTTCGTATTACAATATTTTAATCTGATGTTGAATAATCGGATTTATGTCTTAAACTATTTCTCACGCGGATTGTGGATAAGCTGAGGTTTGTCAATTTTAACAATTAATCAGTGAGAGCGCGTTGGATATATATATATATATATATATA